GGTAAAATGCCCTTGAGAGTTAAAGTAGCTGAGGCCAAAACATTTTAAGAAGCTGTAATGTGACAGAAGGTAGGGAAACGATTTTACCAGAAGTTCAAATGACGTTTTAATCAAGTTGAGCTAAGAATCCTAGCAATGGAATTAAACAAAAAAATTAAAATATTTAAGTTCTGAGATATGCTTATGGACCTCCATGAACTAAAATATAATGCACAAAATAGAGTCGACTGAAGTGTCTAATACAGAGTACATACACATCCCATTATTAAACTTCAGTACTAAACCAATTTTCCAATTTATTACTGGGTTTGCTGGTTTGAAATTTAATTTTTGATTAAATCTCATGTTCATGCTTTTGGAGATAGAAAAGTTTCATGGTGTATTTAAAGCATATCGGATATCAGGCAAATTGAAAAACGGATGAGTGTCTGACGTGTTTAGCAAAGGGAAAAAAGCAGAAAAGAAGAGAGGAAAAGTAAAATTTCACGTTGGACATTAAAAATAGTTATGCCCTGCAACGTATTCAATATGTGTTCAGTCTCCATTTCCCGCTCTGATCAAGATACGGATAATTGAGATATAGCTAATTAAAAGATATTATTCTTTTACAATATGTATCCTTTTCCAGTGTTTCTGTATATAAATAATGACTTTGTTTTAATCCTGTTGTTCTCCCAGTTTGGGATTGCTTTTTTTTTTTCCTGAGGGGCAAACACACTTTGTGGCACGGTTTCGTACTGAAGCAGTAAGCAATGCAACAGAGGCCTCAAAGAAATACAGGCAAATCTTAAACTTGTTCAGGGGTAACTAAATCCGAAGAGTGGGACAGAACACTTATTATTGAACCTCTGTTTTGTCAATTTTAAATTACTTTGTTCTTCCCAAATCCGAGGCCATCGGGTACCAATCTTATCTCAGCATGGCACAAAGCGATTGAGGCTGCTCCTTTTTTACACTTTGCTGCCTTTGCGCCCTCTTTTCCCACCATGGCTTGTCAGGAAGGGTTTGGGCAGGTTGGGTGGCTTGACGCCGAGTCTGGGGATCCTGCAGGGTTTTCATTGCACCACTGTGATGGGGACCCCTCCTGGTATCCATCCCATCCTGGATGCTGACAAGATACCGTTTCCTATTTCTGTGAAAACATTAAAGTGAAGATTGACCAACCTAAATTGCGCATTGCTCTGACGGTTACAGAAAAATACGATGTGAATGACCAAAACATTGGTATAGAAATATATTCATTTTGCCATGGTCAAAAGATGGTTGTGCAAAGGAGAGTGTTCAGGAGGAAAGATTAAGACTATGGGTAGACTGTGTTGCAGCTGAGGTGGCTAAAGTGCGTGTTAATTGCTGTTTATCCCATTTCACCCTAAGATTTGTGGGGTGCAAGTGGATTATCATGTTAACGCACGGCGCCTTCTTACATTCAGCGACTGTACATGGATACCCATGCATGTACGTATTGGGCAGGAATATTAGAAATCACATATATGAGAAGGTGTTTTGTTTATAAGCTCAAAAAGTAACTGTTTCATATAAAATATTTCAAATAAGTCAGCCCTGGACCGTAAGGCAATGGCGTGCCAATCCCACGCAGGTGACAGTGACAGAAATGTACTGTCAGGTACGGTCAGAGCCTGTGGCTGCAGGGTAATGACTATATCGGCAGTTGCACTCAGAGGCTCAGTAAGGTGTTGCAAACATTATCAGACAAAAATACCTTCAGACGCTCTGAATCCTAATCATGAGTTGAAGTCACAGCAGTACCCTTCCCTCTTACTACGCTGTCGGTTTTCTAAGCCTTCTCTGGGTGGCTTGGACTGGAGTGCACTGCTTTGCTAGTATCACGTCTTCTCACAAAAATAACTGGCATTTGTCATCCAGTAATGCAAAATTATTGCATAAAAATGCCCTTGCCTGCCCCCTAACATGGCTTCAAATAGTATGTCTACCACTTACAAAAAAAAAAAAAAAAAAAAGGCACACTGTTGTACATCTTAGTCATTCAAAAATTGGAAAATAATGAACTTATCCCCAAAGAAAGCTTATTAGAGCTTGTAGTACAGGATAAAGAACAGTATATTTTCAGCTGAATACCATTGTCTCTTGTCGCTTCGCTTCTCTACGATTCAGCAAAATGTTCATAAGAGACCAGCTGTATGTTTTAATTCCGCTGATGCATTGCTCCTGTTGAACCTGATCACCTTAGTTAAATCAGGGAAATGAAATCAATACAATTACCGTGGCGGTTTTCTGTCCGCTCCCTGTATAGCCTCTCATAGCAAACACAAAAGCTGCTTGCTAATTGATATTGATTTGTCAATTCATTGAATTCAGCTATGTCAGAGGGGAAGTTACGAGGCCATTTCCATTAAAAGAATATACTGAAAGCGTGCTTCAGATGAAATGTGGGTTTTGTGTATACACCGTCATGAGGTTTTTTGTTCAAATTACATGCCTTCAGAAGAAAAAGAAAACAACATAATATATAATGCAACATAAAAAGGATATCTTTATTTTCCTTGCTGGCCTGCATCTCTGACCTCATCGAAAGAGCTACAGCTTGAAATGCTTTCAGATTTGACAGCCTTTTTTTACTGTCTCTAAGATTAACCTTTGCGTTTGTAAAATGCACATTAATAAGTACTTTATAGCACTAGTTTTGCAGCTTAATAAATCAGGTAGCAATAATGAATTTTATTTCTACTGCTGATAGCACACTTGAGGCAGAAGGTTGGGAGCCAGAGTGATCTGCTCTGTTTGAGTAAAAGTGAACTTACCATCATCTTTTTCTGCAAAAAAATCGGGAGGACAGTGTTTCAGTACAGTCACTATTACATGCTCCAGTGTGGCTCAGCCTGGAACAGTTATTTTCTCCCCATTATTTGTACAGTGGAAGGCCTAGAGATGCTCAGAAGAATTGATACCTCACCATGCTAAGTGAGGTACAGCGTTTTAATTTAAGACACACTGAGCCCTCCGCAGGAAGCAAAACAAAACGAGTAAATAAAGCAATGGAAGATGTTACAAGGAGGGAAGGAAGAGTGCATCTTAGCCCTATGGGCCACGGATACGGTTTGCCTTTGGCATCTTTTTTACAGGTGGTGTAATCTGGAGTGTGAGAGGTCAAGCCAGCAATACGGTGCTGTAATTGGATTAAGCTGAGAGCAAGAGAAGTATAACCCTTAGGGCAAAGTAAGGGAGTAGTCAGAGAATCTAGCGTCAGGGTGAAGGCAGTCTGAATAGCAACTCGAGGGAAGAGGCAGAAGTAGAGGTAAACTTCTGACCGACGTTCATGTAGGCAGAAGGCTGCAGAAAGCCGCAAAGCATGAAGGCAAGTACATCATCTCCAGGGCAAGAGGTCGTGTAACAGGCATCGTCACCCAAACTACCCAGGTCTCTTTGTTCTTTTTTTTTTTTTTTTTTTAAAACAATTATTAATAATTTACCCGCTGAAATTTTTTAACTTAATTCCGTATATTCAGTGTCAGTATCTAGAACTTTTTCTAGGATGTTTGAACCAATATTCATCCCAAAGAAAATGTTTGTAAGATAGATCAAGGGCAGATTGTTGGTCTCTTGGTGTGTGATGGCAAAGGTTTGGGTTCAACAGTTAGGATTGCAGCCTGGGGTTCCAGCTTCCTGCCTTTGGAATGGGAGAATGTGGTATGGGGTGGAGTATTTGAAAAATATCTGGAGGATGAAAGGGGGAAGTCATAAAATATTCTCTGAAATGAAACCAGGTATAGATTCTGTCCGGAATTGTGAAGATGAGTGCAAAACTGAAATACTCCTTAAAGTCTGCTCCTGTTTAGGGTTCTATCTCGATATATCCTCATCTGTCTTTTATTTCGTTATAGACCGAATGAGTGTAATTTTTAAAAATGGAAAATATCTGGATAATGCTAGTTTTAGTAAAGATGCATCTGTATTTATGGATGAGTGCAAAAAAACTCCTTTCAAATTTATTTGTTCACTAGCATGAATAATTTTAAGCATGAATTCAGCCTTTACTTGCTGTGATGAAAATCTGAATATTTGATTTGAGATTAGCTCCAGAGTCTCACTTCTTCTTGTTGAAATTGGTTAGGTTGCTGTTTTAAGTACATTAGCACGGACTCTTTGTTCATTCTGAAGTAGTTACAGTTTCCTTGAGGAAACAGCATCTCAAAATGTTACTCACCACATTTTCTGAGGAGATAGCACTTGAACAATAGAAGAGAAAGCGTGAAGTGATTCTTTGCTGCGTTTCGGGAGGAAACTCATTATTTATACATGATGAAACTATGCTGAATATGAGATGCTCCATTTTCAGTGTTTGTAGGGTATGAAGAACATGAGATACCAATGTGTTAGTAGCGTAATCTTTTTTCTTTTCCTTTCTTTACACGAATCAGTGCTCAGTGAATCAGAAACAATTTGCTGAATGTTTAAAACATGTGTATGTATACTTGGGTTGCAGTTGATTTCCTGAAAAGCTTCTTGGCTTTTAGTACTGAAATGGGTTGGCAGGAAGATTTTGGATCTTTCTGAAGAGTGGAAATTCCTGTGGAGGTGCCTTTAAAGTGCTTAGTGTTTAAATGATAGAGGTGTACCCATGAATGAATTTTCCTGCATGCATTTCTGATAGATTACTGAGTTTTCTTAGTAGAGGTAGGTATTGTAAAAGAGCTATTATGTTCTAAATTTTACTTGCAGTTTACCAATCTGTGGTGGTTCTTGCGTTTCTCTTATTTTCTACTCATTATTCCCTGCTTTTCCATTTCTCATATCAAAGAACCATTATATCTTTATACTGTCACCTCTTGTCAGTTAAACAACTTACTGTTTTTTGCATTTGCAGGGGCGGAGGTTAAACCTTTGCCTTTTTAATGTCTTTCTGTAATAACAGATCCTCTTGCTTTCGCAGCCTAATAGATGCTAACCTGAGGAATAAGTTTCAGTGATCTGCTGTTCAGGCAATGGGAAGATAACACAAATACTTCTGTTCAATTCTGCAGACCCCCGCCAGTGAGTGAAAGTGCACCAAAAGGAACTGTGGTCACAGTTGTAACAGCGGCCGCCTTGAACCAGACAATTGTATATTCAATTGTTTCAGGAAATGAAGAGGGTAAGTGCTAATATTTCAGTCCTAGTGGTTATGCTGAGCCTGGTGTGTGCAGCAGAAGTCTTCGAGAAGTAGTGATTAGAAATAAAGCTGCTGAGGTGAAATACCACCTCATCTGTACAAGCAGGAGGGACTGCCATTATCAAGCCTTTAGAGATCAGCTAAAGATCAGTTAGCAGAATTACAATAAAAATTAAAATACAATGAAATTTTCACTGATGTGAAAATTCACGTCGGTGCCACATGGTGTGAATGCATGGCATACTGAAATAAGAATATAAATAGCTTTGATGGAGTTGTACTTCTTGCTTAGAAATCTGTTTTAAGGCATTACAGGCTTTGCCATGCTGTAGCCACAAGTATTAGATTAGAGCCTGATATTTAAACAAATCATCATTCCTGCATTTGCATCCTTCTCGGGTACTTTCTGTGATCCACCTTGACATCTCTAAGCAAAATTACGCTAAATTATTTGGAGGGATGGGGAAGAATTCCCCGTCCCATCCTCCTCTTTGTGAGAGTGGGCTGTTTGTTTTGTCTGCTCTTGCCAGCGTGTCCTCAAGTTGGCTATTCCAGTGCCAGGTCAGATTCAGCTGTTGTGCTCCTTTGAAGACAGCTTCAAAGAGGAGTTACGTGGGCTTTTAGAGGCTTGAGAGAGGGATGGGAATGACTTTCTGAAGACAGTGTCAGAGAATAGTGTCATCACCAAAATAGAAGCACTTAGGCATCAAAAAAAAGTGTTTATGCGTCTTAGAAAGTGACTTCTGTTTCTGCTGGATTTCAGATGTGTTTGCTATTAATAATAGAACGGGTGTGATCTCAGTTAAAAAGTCTCTGGATTATGAAAGTGTGAAAAGCTATGAGCTTCGAGTTCAAGCAGACTCCTTGCAAGTGGTACGATCCAATCTGCGTGTCCCTTCCAAAAGTAAGTTTAAAAATCCTTATTTTTAAATCTCTTTTTAATATACATATGCATTGTCATTTTTTGAGGAGATTGATAACTGCATTCTGGCTAGTGACCTTGTTTTGTTATCAGAAATACCACGGTGATGGTGGTACGTGAGCAGCAGAGAGTGCATTTGTGGATCTCTATGCTTGCCTTCCATACATGGAGCTGATCAGTCTTGAGCTAAATCCTTACAAATTGTGTCAATATTACACAGTTGTAGGTCTCACTGATACAGACAAAAGTCGTGTTTATATATAAACAGAGAGTTGATGGCACCAATTGAATGGTTTCAGTGTAATTAGGGCTTTTTGTGATGGAATGTCACAGTTACTTTTTTATAAACACATTATACAGCCCAAATACAGACTTCCTCCTGCTGGGCTGGTAACATCGCAGCAAATATAGAGGAATGGGGAACAGATACACAGCAAGGGTGACAGGAAGAAAAAGACTCGTTCAGCACCCCTCAGGGTCTGCGTGGAGTTTATTGCAACCCTGACTGAGAGCAAACAGGAGGCAAGGACCTGCGGAGACAAAGACAAGAAGGTTCTTTGCAGCATCTCTAGGCAGGAAGGAGTTTATTTACAAACTGTTTTGCTTTGGCTCTGTCTCATGGTGAGGGTTTTCTTTTTCCCTTTAATGGTTTACTTTTTCTAATAAAAGTAATTCGAAAGATCTTTTGATGATTTTTATCATCCTCCCTGTAAGGAAAAGGTCTGGGAAGTCTGGCTTTCAAACATCTGGCTCACTTAGTGTCCTATCCCATCCTATACAACTTCCTATTTAAGCCACATTTGGGCCCTAGTAAAAAAAAAAAAACCTTGTACCAAAAAGTATTTTGGTACACGTTTTCACACAGACTGTGTTTGTTGTCTCAGCCTTTTTTCCCCTGTATTTTTGGTCTCAGTTTTCCCCTGCTGTAGCTAAGGAGCGTCAACGAAAATAAGCCCAGGGCAGTGGACTGTTGCACTGAGAAAAGGGCAGTGAGGAATTGAATATTTGTTTAAAGTCTATGAAAATATTACCTTCTTTCATTTCAAATTGAATGTAAGATTACTTCAAGTCATTTGTTCTGCAGTCGCAGTTATTCCAGTATGAGCTGTGGGCCAGGTCTGTCGCAGGTGGTTGGAGCTTTTGTCTCCTCTGCACATCCACCACTGTTAATTGTAGAACAAATCTTTAGCACTAGAAAAGAGCAGGCTCATCCTGACCAAAAACACCCCCATGAACTAATAGGTTGAGGGGAAAACTTCAGCCTCTTTCATTTACAAACGTCTGTCCAAGAGACGCTGCTGTACCATCTCGTCGTATTCACCCCTGTGTGAGCTGAGGAATCCCCAGGACGCCAGGCTTTGGGTACCTGCTGTTTAGTGATGTGCGTGTAAAATTCATTCAAAAAAGGACATCACATTGATATTTTGAAACCATGAAATACAAATGGAGTTCGAATTTACTTCAGACTTCAGTTTTATGCAGATAACCAATATTTAGTTACTTGTCAATCCAAGGAGACAGGCAGGGGGAGATACCATAAACAAAATGCCAGTACCAGAGTGCTCCTAAACCTCAGTGAGATTTGGGCACTTATCAAAGTGTGTACCTAATAAAACGTTCTTACAGTTTCTGGAAGCTCCCAGTAATATAATGAGCAATTTTAGTTTGAGTGCATCTTTTAAAGTATTACTGGCAGTATGATGCTGGAGGGATTGTGCTGCCACGGACTTTGTTTTGATCTCTGTTCCCAAGGAGGTCTGCCTGGCAAGCCAGGGGCAAAAAAATTTCTATCGGTCTTTCATCTGTCCCTAATGTTAGACTGTCACCTTTCCTCCTGCCCCGAGTGAGAGATAATTTGTTGCGCCTGTGTCCAGGCACAGAGAGCACTGGGTAAATTAGGACTGGAAGCACAGTGCGATCCCTTTTTCTCCCTTGCTGCAGGGAGAAGTGAGCTGTGTCAGCTTTTTTTGCCTTAGGTACTCACTCTGGGCTCTTTGGCTGGCACATTGACAGGCAGAGAGCCAAAGTGCCACCCCGTTATTGTCAAAGGTGACAAAGTTGTTCCATGACAGACAGAGTCTTGCCCACACTGCAGGTTGTGATCCACAGAGTTAATAGTCTGAGGGTTGCAAAGGAAGGGCCACCCTTCACTGACTGGGCTGATTCTGCTCTCCTTTTTCTATAATTAGTCTTCTGGTTATTGTTCTGATGGATACAATAATAGCTGTGAATATTAGGAAACCCATCTATAGTTTATTTCAGTGCTAATTTGGTGCATATGCTTAAGAGTATCGTGTATAGATTAGAGATCAAAATTCAGATTTTTCAGGATAGTAATTTAAACAGGGTGCAAGTCTGTTTCTTCTGTATAAAGATACTACTGTAGAACCTGCTTGTGATACTGAAATTGGTACTTCATGAAAATTTGCTTACGGATTTTTAAACTTCTTAAAGATATTAGACTTAATGGGCTTAAGTATTTGGGAACATGCCATAAAATGGGGTGATAGCCCGAGACATTGTGCAGGGGTGGCAGTTAAAATACATTCATCAGGCTCTCCAATACTACCCTGTAACCAGCGGAAAATTTTTGGAAATTGAGCGTGTATTATCATGGATATTTCTTCTTCCTTAAGAAAAAATTGAGCATGTGTGTGGTGTAACATGTAGGGATTATTCCGTAGTCAGAAGTTGAATTGTATTAACAGCAATGTAAGATTCTGCGTGCTGTTATAGCCACCATCGATGATGTATCTGGAGAGGGAGAAAATGAGAGAGCTAGTGCCAGTTGACTGCATTTGTTTGTGTCTGGGAGAGGGCCAGTTAAGGTTATATTCTGTAAAATGCGGCCAGACCATACGCAGTGAGGAGATAAGGCCTCTGTGCAGCGTACAGCTTTTTTCAAATCTTTCTCTGACATGGATGAACAGGCGAGGGAGTCAGCAGGTTCCAGCAGAGGTCTTTGGGCAGACCTCACCGGTCAGGGGAGCAGTGGCCTCTATATCCCTCTTCCGACTCATAGTCTGCACTAGAGCAGTCCTCCCAGCTGGGCAGCAGTTTTAAAAAGGTGGTGGCTGAATTATTTTATTCAGGGATACTTGATAATGATTGGAGTTTGAATTTGGTCCAGTTTAAAGGAAGACATGCGCTTGCTGTATGTGCTTGGACATCCATGAGTATACAGTATGTATTAGGTTTTGAATACGCACTGTGCTGGATGGGTAGCTAAAGAATTTCGTAGATGTATATTTTTAAAATACTTTACAAATGTCTGGCTAACTAAAACACTTATGTCTTCGTAATGGAGATCCCTTGACCGCTATGTTTGATTCCTACATTTGTATGACGTATGTCTTTCCATTTTCTCGGCACCTTTTCCTTTCTTGATGAGTTTTAATCAGGTTAAATACTACTTCAGAGTTTCCAGGCACTGAATTGATGAACTACAGTGGAAGGAGATGAGACGGAATTAATGCACCACTGTGGGCTTTGGTGACATTGAAATGATGAACCACTTTGGAGATAGGTGACTTTGAATGCACTTCTCCAGAATTATGTGACATTGAATTATGCGACACCCCTCTGACACTCAATGGCAATGAATTGCTGCCAGTTACAGTGTTAGATGCCACTGAATTGGTGAACCATTCTGGAATTTGTTGGCAGTGAATTGATGACCTACTCCAGAGCTGCGATGATGAGCCCTTCTGGAGCTAGATAACGCAGCACTGACAAACTGCTCAGCCGCAAAACAGTGCTGAATTTTACGAAAGTCGGAAGCTAGGTACCAAATTGTTTTTAACTGTGTGGTATCATAGAAGATAATTATATAGAGGTAGGAGTTTGAGTTTTCATCTGTGCAGTGGAAAAGTGGATGATACTGCATTAAGTGTAACTAAGCTTGTCATTCCGTGATAGTGCCAACTGATAGCGTAGTAATAACTGAATAAGTAAATGAGGAGAGAAAGTAAATTGAGATGTCGTTCAGAGTATAAGAACATAAAATTGGTAACTTAAACTCGGTTTTTAAAATACGATGCTAAATCATGCACAATCACACTCACTGTCAGCAGAATCAAACTCCTTAAATGAGTTACTTTAACTGAAACTTTATAATATGAAGTTACTTCATTTTTACTTCATTTGAATGGAAGAAGATTTAGATTTTCTGATGATAGTGAATTTAAAAGGTTGGAATTCTGGCTTGAGGAATCAGCAACTGGTGATGCTGAGCCCTGAAAGACCTTCAGTATTAATGGACTTCTCCAATTCAGTTAAATTTAGCAGCCTGGGGTTTTTTCTGTTTGCTCTTTGCTTCTTAGATTATCTATCACAATAGACCGTAGTCTAGTAGTATACTGTAGGTCAAATTAGGATTGTGATTATTAGCTTCCAAATAGAAGCTTTCAGTTCTCCCTCAATGGATAAGATGAAAAAAAGAAAAACTGATATATAAGGGGAACATCCCAAAACTGTGTGTGGCAGGATGTGTTCTGCAACTGGAAGGTGCTGCTCTGTAATCTGTCACAGAGCAAGCAGCTCCTTCCTCCCAGAAAGAGTTGTGGATTAGTGCGCTGAAGGGGATGTATCAGTACAATTAATCATTTACTAAACCAGAAGTACTTCTTGAACAAGGCAAGGAGAAACATCGCCTTTTACTTCGTTTAAACAGTCACCTGTTCGCAAAGTTTTCATCAGCATCTCGCTGTCCTGCAGTTTGATACCCAGGAGAAATGCGGTCAGAGCAATAACCTTATTGTGGCAAGGAAGGACGGGACAGGAGGGAGCAGAAGGGTTTACAGGAAACCAGAGGGAGCAGCGAAGAGAAAGTGCTGCCTAAACACAGTAAGAGTGAGCAGTGGAGCATTATAGACAAGAAGGGGCGAAGAGAGGGTTTTACCACCAAAGTAAACATAGTCCCAGTTTTAAGAATCAAAGCATTAGTGGGCATCTGATTCCTGTGCCAGACAGATGAAACATGC